ACGCGTCGAGAGGCGGGGATTCACTCCCGCGTTAGTGTTCTGAGCTGTTGGACGTGAATCCCTGTCCTGGCATTTGGTTTTCACCTCTGGCTGCGTTGAGTAGTTGAGTTACTGTGACCAAATGCCCATCTTGGTAGTTAGTATTCGCCTCTGGTTGCGTTGAGTAACTGAGTTACCGTTGCTAACTACCCATCTTCCTGTTCTTTTGTTTTCTTCTTTCTTTCTTCCTTTTTTGTTCTCCTGAAGAAGCTACATACAATTGTAGCGAAACGTCGAGATGAACCCACTTTTGGGTCACTCACAAATGACACGGTCCAAACCCGGAAGACGAATAAACTATAACTCATTGTACTTGTTATTTCTTTAAACGGCCGTAAAATTTGGGAAAGCTGAGAACAAATAATCCAGTGTTTTTTATTTAGATTTGGTCTAAGTCTAAGTCTGTATTATTTAATACCGATGTGGAACGGAAATACACGCCAGTACACCGAAAATATCAAAATACAGAGAGGAGTCCGCCAGGGTTGCGTGCTGTCCCCACTACTTTTCAATGTCTACAGTGATCGGTATTTTAAGAAGCGCTCTCAGACTCAATAGAAGGTATATCTATCAATGGAGAAGTTTTGAATAACTTACGTTTTGCAGACGATACAGTAATAATTACGGATAACAACAATGATTTACAGAACCTAATGCAACGCCTTAATGAACGCTGTCATGAGTACGGACTGAAGATAAATTTAAAGAAAACTAAATGCATGATCATGACTAAATCTGCACAAATATCCAATTGACTATTGAAGATACTGCAATTAAGAGTGTTAATAACTATAAATACTTAGGAACATGGATAACATCAGATGTAGACCAAACCAAAGAAATTAAGACACGCATTGAAATAGCACGTCATTTATTAAACTTAAAATATTTAGCATAGCATCATTTATTAAACTTAAAAAGTTTCTTTGTTGTCGAGATATAAGGTTAGAACTACGCCTGAGAATGCTTCGATGTTACGTGTTCTCTACTCTTCTTTATGGTCTGAAAGCTTGGACACTAAAATAAGTTCATCTGAATAAGTTGGCCGCCTTTGAATTTTGGTGTTACAGAAGAATCCTACGAATATCATGGATTCAAAAAATGTCAAACATTGAAGTAACTAGAAGGATAGGAAATGAGGCAGAAATAATATTAACTATTAAAAGACGAAAACTTAAGTACTTGGGACATGTGATGAGAGGGCAAAAATACGCATTATTACAACTTATTATGCAGGGCAAAATCCGAGAAAAGCGAAATGTGGGAAGACGAAGAATATCCTGGCTTAAGAACTTAAGGGAATGGTTTGAATGCAGTAGTGCAGAACTTTTTAGAGCGGCAGTCAACAGAGTCGGCATAGCCATGATGATTTCCAACCTTCGATAGAAGATGGAACTTAAAGAAGAAGAAGTGAAACGGATTGCCTCTTCTAACTCAGTCATTCTTTTTAACCTGTAATAGGTGAAGTTCTACCTAGTTTCCACATCTTGGATTGGCCGTTTGGGAACTTTGTTATGTTGTAATTAATACTTTTAAAAGCCTTTCTGAAGATAAGGTACTTTTTTTTAATGTTTTTTGCAGAATTGTCGAAAAAAGGACTTTTTATTTTATCTATTATCAAATCAGTTTTGACATAACATTCCTGAAGTAATGAATCTAACAGTTTTTCTTGTTGGCGGTTTATATCCAGGAATCCACCCTGCAAACTTTTTAAAAGCTGGTTCTTCACCTATAGAAAACGGATGAAACGAGTCTTTGCATAAGTTAAATCAATAAGTTTAGTCAAGAAAAAGAAACTGATAAAGATGACTTAAGTCTATTGTGTATTTTTGATGAATTAATTGGACATGACTCCTCTAAACATACAACTGTATCGAGAGATATACAAGAAGTCGACATGTATTTGTCTGATAATATATTACCCACAATAAATTTCGAACGGAGATTGGAACTGTCCATTACCGTGGTGGAAAAACCATCGCCATGTATATCCTAACTTAGCCACTATATTCATAAAATATTGTAGAATTGTAACAAAATCTTTTCCTTGTGAACACATGTTTAAAATCTGGTTTAATTTTTAAATAAAAGAAGAACACGGTTAACAAGAAAAGTAGAAAAACTTGTTTATAAATGTCAATTTAGACGATTCGCGATTTAATAATAACGTGTAATGTAAATGTAAGTACGATTTAATATAAATGTAAGTACCATTTGTATTGTTTAATTTATTTTTCAAGTTATAATAAATATATCCTTCGTTAGGTTCTTTCACTTCAATACTTATACACATAAACGATAATAGCCAATATGTTTGTGTACTCGCTAATTTGAATCAACTAGTTACAGTTTACGAAAAACGGTTCCGATAAAAATTTAAAAAACGGGAGGACCCACCTCTAGTTTTTTAGGTATATTGAGATCGGAACCAGAGAATATGTCAAATATCTCTGATCGGAACTATTCGTCTCACTAATGGCCAATAGGTGTTAAAAATATTTGAGGAGGGGAGACCAAGGGGAAATATGATTGTTATCTTTGTCTATTCGCTGAAAATATGATTTTATATCTGCGTTAGATATCCTGTTAAATTTTACCATACCGACCATAAAATTTTTCCTACACTGTATACTGAATTTGTTCAATTGTTGTTTGTCATCAACAAATTCAATTACATCTTAGATCTAAAGTTTTTGATGCATGCATTATTCCGATATCAACTTATAAGGCACAAACATGGACAATCACAAAAAAGAATATGAATATACTTAGAGTCACTCAACACGCGATGAAAAGAGCAATGCTAGGTATATCACTTAAGGACAAGAAAACAAACACATGGATAAGACAGAAAACCAAAGTCACCGATGTGGTGCAAAAATCATTAAAGTTGAAATGGGAATACGCTGGACATGTAGCTAGGAGCGATCTAAACAAATGGCACAGATCAATTTTAACCTGAAGACCATACCAACACAAAAGACCCAGAGGCAGACCTCCTATGAGATGGACAGATGATCTGAAAAGGACTGCCGGGAAAAATTGGCTACAAGTAGCGTACAATAAAAAACAATGGAAAGGAAGACTTGAAGAGGCTTATGTTCAGATGTGGACGTAAATGGCTAGACGAAGAAGAAGAAGAATATATATATATATACATATATATATAATATATATATATATATATATATATATATATATATATATATATATATATATATATAACGTAACGGAAAATGGCCCACTAGATCGAGAAATTGCCCATAGGATACAAGCTGGTTAATTTAATTGAAAGCGAATGAGCTAGGTACTCTTTAATCGAAAAATCGTGGAAGGTCTAAAAAGAAAGGTATACAAGAGTGTGGAGTGGGTGTGGGTGAAGCGCCACCTGGAAAGAAGATTCAGGAAAAGAAATAGAGGAAGCTAATATAAAAATGTTATGGTGTAAGTTGGGTACTACTAGAAGAGATAAGATCAGGATCGACTTGATTAGGGAAAATGCCGGGGTAACTACAGTCTCAAAAAAGATTTGAGAACAAAGACTGCAATGGTTTAGTAAGGTTAGAAGTAGAAATAAAGACTATGTGGGACGAAATATAGAGCTGTTAGAAGTTGATAGAAGGAGAGGTAAAAGAATCTTGAAGAGAAGATGGAAATACTATAAGGCACAGAACTTGAGATAAAAAGGTTAGGTAAAGAAAACACGATAGAAAGAAATGAGTGGCGAAAAAGAGTAAGGAACACTGTCACATGAAAAAGAAAAAGCTTAATAAGAAGAAGAAGAAAGGTATTTTCACAGAAAGATTCTTTTTGGTTGTTTCACTGCCAATTACATCTTTAACCCTGTTTGAAGTAGCTAGTGTAGATGAAATATAGTCTAGGGAGACCAACGGCTTTACGTGTCATCTGAATTACGGTGAACAGCTCGTTCAATTTTAAAAATGAAAATGTCGTTGATTGTGCCAAGATCTTGCCACTAAGCTATGATTGTCCACACAGCCATCTTTTTTTTAAGTGTATTTTGCAGGCATAAAATTTGCAATGTGCAACTCAAATAGCAGTACGTGGAAACTAGATTCTTGAGCTATTTATTCAGTACTTAAAGTATGGTTTTATGAATTGTTTTAACTAGCTTTATTACATATATTGATGAAGTAGCTTATCTTGATGAAGTTAGGTATATAAATTTTGAGCTGTTAGAAGTTGATAGAAGGAGAGGTAAAAGAATCTTGAAGAGAAGATGGAAATACTATAAGGCACAGAACTTGAGATAAAAAGTGTTAGGTAAAGAAAACACGATAGAAAGAAATTGAGTGGCGAAAAAGAGTAAGGAACACTGTCACATGAAAAAGAAAAAGCTTAATAAGAAGAAGAAGAAAGGTATTTTCACAGAAAGATTCTTTTTGGTTGTTTCACTGCCAATTACATCTTTAACCCTGTTTGAAGTAGCTAGTGTAGATGAAATATGTCTAGGGAGACCAACGGCTTTACGTGTCATCTGAATTACGGTGAACAGCTCGTTCAATTTTAAAAATGAAAATGTCGTTGATTGTGCCAAGATCTTGCCACTAAGCTATGATTGTCCACACAGCCCATCTTTTTTTTAAGTGTATTTTGCAGGCATAAAATTTGCAATGTGCAACTCAAATAGCAGTACGTGGAAACTAGATTCTTGAGCTATTTATTCAGTACTTAAAGTATGGTTTTATGAATTGTTTTAACTAGCTTTATTACATATATTGATGAAGTAGCTTATCTTGATGAAGTTAGGTATATAAATTTTGCTGTTTTCCTTACACACTTTCTATTTTCAAAAAATATAAAAATAATTTCATGTTTTCATATCTCATATATAATAAATACTCACATAACATAGCTGTTAAACTGTACCAACGACGGTTCATATAATTTCTTATAATCAAATAGTTCAAAATAGCTTTTTGTATCTTTTTTTATTTCAGAATGTGCAGAATATTATCCACCAGCAGAGTTTGTTCTAGCTGCCGCCGGTGGTACTAAGTCACTTCCAAAACAATTTCCACATATGGTAGGTATACTCCAAGTGAACTAAAATTTAATGTATTCAGATATAGGAGGGACTGTCCACTTTTATTGGATTGCGTACGCCGTTTAAATAGCATATCTTCTTCTAATTGTTGATTGCTGTCTTTTCCTTCCATTGGCACTGCAGCCTAAATAAATCCTTCACCTACTCTAATTTTTTTTAAACTATTTTGATCGGATCTGCAATCATCCAAAGTATCATAATATATAAGCGATCCTTTACAAAGGCAGCGAAGGCGATTTTACCTTATACTAAGGCAATTATTTAATACAAACGCTATAACATAAACAAGGTATAGTAAAGCAGTTTGATATGACAAACAAAATATACGCATTCGCGCGCCATTTGCCTTATTTTGAAATTCACTAAATTGTGTATATCTCCTCTTCGCTCAAACCATCCTACCTCTTGAAATCTTTTGTTACTCTTTTGATATTTTAGTTTTTTACTTAGAAGACATAAAAGTACAATGTTAATAAAAAGAGAACGTTAATCTAAACGAGACACTGAATCCGGATGAAGAAATTTAAAACTCGTATAGAAATTGCCAGAGGTGCATTTACGAAACTTAGATCTATTCTGAGCAATTCTCAGCTAAACTTACTGCTAAGAATTAAGTTCCTAAAATGTTATGTGTATCCTGTATTACTATACGGATGTGAAACCCGGATTATGAAGGTTAACATGATGAACAATTTAGAAACCTTCGAGATGTGGTTATATCGTAGAATGCTCAGAATGTTATGGGTTCAACACATTTCAAACAGAGAAGTCTTAAACAGAGTAGGTCAAGGTGAAGATGACTTAATAAATATGATAAAAAACAGCAAACTCGAATATCTGGGGGCATATTACTGGAGCGTTACAACATTGGATGATATATTTGTAAATTTCTCAAACTCCGGTTTGTCATGTGTTCTTAACAACACTGTATCAGATTACAGAACAATTTTGGGGAACTTGACTTTGAAACGAAATTTTCATACTTTATACAAAAAAGACAATTTGGTGAGGACTCGATAAATCGTCAATGATTGTTCAGAAAGTGCTAATAACAATGCTAATGCTTGTTTAATATATAATGACAAAAATATAATTACAGATTCCCAATACGTAGCATGCACTTTTAACATTTTTTAAAAATGCACCCATTAATATCGTGTCAAAAATTCTATGTAATACAGTAGACAAAGACAGTTAGTCAATTATTACAGATCATGAAAATTTCGTTCAGTTGTACCCATTTACTGGGCTGGAACTGATCGAACTCCTGCGGAGTAAACTTAAAAACAAATCCACTAGTGATTTTGACGATATACCTGCATTTTTGGTAAAAAAGGTTTTACCATTTATAATTAATACTTTAACTTATCTCACCAATTTGTGTTTTTGTAATGGGGATTTTCCTAACTAGTTAAAGACAGGCAAAGTAGTTTCCATTTTTTAAAAAGGAGATCCAAAACTGGTCAGAAATTATAGGCCTATAACAATTTCCAGTATATTTTTACCGCTTTTTGAGTATGAATATTTAAAGAGATTAAATGTTTTCTTAATATTGTTCTAAAGCTATTTTCTTGCAGCATTTTAAATCAATTACTGTTTAAATGGGAATAAGCCACCATTAAAAGTTAAAGTACGTTTATTGACGTTTCAATTTCCACTTCGGAAATCGTTCTCAAAATACAAACATTAGTAAATTAAACAGATTTTGTTCTTTTTTATATTTTATTTGTTTAATTTACTAATGTTTGTATTTTGAGAACGATTTCCGAAGTGGAAATTGAAACGTCAATAAACGCACTTTAACCTTACATTGTGGCTTATTCCCATTTAAATAGTAATTAATTTAACGGTTAACTAACTAACAATAATATCATAACTATAAATCAACATGGATTTCAAGAAAATAAATCTACTAATACGGCAGTCTATGCATTTTATGCTCATTTAACTAGGTTGATTGATGCAGACGAATGTCAAATTGGAATATTTTGATCTTTGATCTTAGTAGGGCATTTCAACCATGAAATATTATTAAAAAAAAACTAAAACAGATAGGTATTACAGGAAATCATTTACAGTGGATTATATCATTTCTAACCAATAGACAACAATATTTGAGCCTGTAGATGAGGATCGAGGATTGTGTGACCAGCTGTCGATCTAGTCTTGTTACTACAAACATGGGTGTTTCCCAAGGATCTATAATAGGACCAATTCTCTTTGTAGTCTACATTAACGATATCGTACGAGTGGAGAGAGCGGGAAATTTAACTATATATGCGGGTGATACGTCAATTATTCTATCTAAACAAATTAAACGTAATCCTAAAACATCAATTTAATGATTTTCTTTCATCTTTATATTCTTGGTTTTGCAATAACTCGTTGCATCTTAATGCAGAAAAAACGCAAGTTATACATTTTCACTATAAACAAAAATACCTGGAAAATCTTCAGTTTATTTTTAACAACATGCAAATAGCTATGGTGTCGTCAGGCAAGTTTTTGGGAATAAAGATTGACGAAAGTTTTGAGTGGAAGTTGCATTGTGGAGCGGTTGTTTCGAAGTTGAATTCCACTAACTATCTAATTAGAAATTTAAAATATGTTTTAACGAAAAATCAGCTTATCATGATATATCATGCACTCGTAGAGTCCAGACTAAGATAAGGGATATGTTTTTGGGGGTATGTCTGGTTATGCCAATGGTATTTTCGTCATACAAAAGAACATATTGCGTTGTGTCGCAGGTTTCTCCCGACCAACTGTAGCGTTTACGCTACTGACTAGTCCAATTTAAACCCCTCAAGAAATTTTTATTACCCGCCTACGATCGATTTTGAATCGACATTTTCCCCCACACGCGCTGTTATCGTTTTGAAAGGAAGATCGATTTTGTGCGGAAGCGAAGCGGTTAGTTTTGGTCTGAACTCGTCAACGCAGACACGCCAACCGGTGAAATTGTTCACATTCAAAGTGACGGAATTGGAACACAAAAAAATAATTTGGGGAAGAATATAATTCATAAATAATAATAAGTAAATTTTTTAAATAAATATTTATGAGTTCCACATAAAAGGAAGATTTTTTTTGGCGTGTGTTGCGAGCTCCATATTCCGTCACGTGAAAATATTAATTTCACGTTACTTGAGGATATTCTCTTGAGAATATTCCCTCAAGGATACTAGACTTTGAATCCTTAAATAGTTAACAACCCGTGGATTTTTGCTGGTCACCCAGAGACCAGTGACTGGTTGTGGCTTTTGTGACCAGGATTCGTCTTTACAGCCACAAACTGATGTAGCCGTGCCAAGAGGAGTTTTTCCTATGGACTTATAGTGCTGTAAAGATAAGTCGTTTAACTATTTGACCTTTTGTATTACGTATTACTTTATATTTACTGTTAACTGATCATATGCATATGATAAGGTGAATACCTTTATGATATTTTTTTTGATAATTTAATTATAAAATATTCGGGAGGAAAAAGGGACACTTCATGTGTTATTAGGTTTTAACTAGGATTTAGAGAGTCTGACCAAACTCACTTTTTTTTTGGATATAATATTTTTGTTAATATAATACAATTTGATATTAAGAGGGACATAAATTTAATGTGGTTTGTTTTTAAATATTATATAATGAGTATGGAACAACTCATTTTTTGGATGTAATATATATATTTAATATAATTGTAATAGAGATTTATCAAGTTTGATATCTTTACAATAATTGTCATTAGTACCTCATTTTAGTAGAACTAATTTAAATTTAAATGACTACCTTTTTGTTTTAAGACTTTGGCTACCCTACGGACTATTCTTGTTGTATACTAATATTTCATATTTTATTTGGCCAGTGGTAGTGACTATTCATTTGTTGAGGGGCTATTAGGTCCTATTGTATCTGTACACCATCCACTACCACTGTTATTTGGCTTTGCATTATATGTAAATTGTTTATACACATATACCTATATACATTTGTTTATAAATATATTTATTGTTGCTATTTTGAGTTTTATTTCAGTTCTACTAACCAGTATATAACATAGCAAAACAAGATTAATATTTAGTATTTTTGTATTTCAGAGTATTACCTCCAGATTCATTTGTTACTTCAAAATCTCAACTATCGTTGAGTTGGCGCCCTTCTTTTCTCTTCTTATTGTTCTCTTTCTATAAATTTATTCCCAGTGACCTTCTTTAGTTGTATCACGTTTGATATTACCAGGTCTCATTTCGTTTCTTGTCTCATTAGCTCAGTATCCTTGCTATCTGTTTAAATCTTTAAAGCCACAATCCAGTGCATTGAAGCTAGCCCGAACACTCACTTGAGATTTAGTGTCTCTTTGGCCATTTAAATTTGTTCCTCTGAGCTTAGCCCTATTTTTTAGTATTTTTTTTTCCATCCCTTCTCTTTCAGTTCTTCTGAACTTTGTCAATTCACAACATTTTATTCGTTTCAATTGGCGCCCAACGTGGGGCTTCTTTTCCACTTCTGCCTTAAAAAAAAAAATATATATATATATATATAATCTCCTTTAACTTTTGGTTTTGATCTTGGGTTGTTGTGGTTTTCACTGGTTGTGCTTTTAGATTTTCATTTTAACTTTTAGTTTTGTTTTTCAATTTTTTTTTTTGGACATTACCTTATATCTATATCTATATCTTAAATTGACTTGTTTTTGCTATATACTGTATAGACTGAATAAATTGCTTTGTTTTTGATTGATTAAATAACAATTTAAATTAATAATAAATTAATTAAAAATTTAAAGAACTAAAGTTAACTATTTCACATATTTTACAAGTCCGGAGTAGTCAATAAGTTGAGTCACTACCTCGAAATAACAGTTTTGAAATTTTAGGTTCCTTAGGGTGTTGTAGCAGTATATGTCATTGGATTTCATAACTGGACCAAAACAATTAAACATTACTGGTATAGGTATCCCTTCAGAATATTAATTTGAGGACAGAGAGT